TACTGGAACCACATCTGTTCATCTAGAGGCAATCACCCACACTGCAACCCAGGGACGGGAAGTGGAATGGGCAAGATCATCTTTAACTCTGATCTTGGGGGGCGCTCACATCTAGTCATGAATAGAGATGGGGGTATTCGTATACAAATACAAATAGCCCCCCACAGGTGGAAAAAAACGAGAGTCTGGCCCCTGGGGCCAGACCGTCCACTCACCATTCTGCTGCCACTGTGGGCTCCGTGCTCCCTTCCTATCAGTCTGGAGCTCGCAGTGGATTAGTCACTTTTCGACCTGGCAGAGAAGCTCATTATCCTGCCTCCTGCCAGGAGTGGCTAATCCACCACAAGCTCCGGAGCGATAAGAAGGGAGCGTGGAGCCTGCGGCAGTGGTGCAGCGGCGAGTGGATGGTCTGGCTCCAGGGGGCCGGACCCTCGTTATCTCCACCTGTGTCATGAATCCATCTCTAGTCATGAATCATCAATGGTGCTACCAACAGATCAAGGTATTCCATCTCACATTCCTGTCATAGCTCTTGTCTAGGAATACACATACCATATTTTTCCATTGATAAGATGCCCCCATGTATAACATGCCCCCCCAATTTTGACTCTTTTGAGCCCGAGTGCCCAAGTCAGCGGGCACCCCCTGGGCCAGTGCATCCTCCAGAGGGCAGTCAGGGGATGCCTTTTCCCCCTCCCCAAATATACCCCTTCGGGCAGGCTTCCTGCACTGCACTCCGCTCCATTCCGCCCCGCTTGCTTGCTCTCCTGCAGAGCCAGAGCAGAGTCACAGTCAATGGGCAGCAGTCCAAATGGGCACATCCCCTTACTTGAGACATGAGAATAATGAACTAGTTTAGTTACACTAAAGGGGACAAGGCGGCAGCGTGAGCTTGAGCTGAACCACAGCAGTGAGTGACGCTGTGCTCTGCACAGGGCTGGCATGGGCAGCAGCATTGGCATAGCTCGCTTGCCCACAGAGAGGGCTTACTTGTGTGTATAAGACAACCTTCAATTTTTGCTCTATTTTAGGAAAAAGTAGCATCTTATACATGGGAAAATGCGGTAACTCTTGCTATGTGCAAGTAGACCACCGTTATGTTAGACAGTGGTTCCCAACATTGGGTCCCCAGATGTTCTTGGACTCCAACTCCCAGAAATCCTGGCCAGCACAGCTAATGGTGAAGGCTTATGGGGATTTTAGTCCAAGAACATCTGGGGACCCAAGCTCGGGAACCACTCGTCTAGAACACTGACAAACAGTCAAATCTTTATGAAATCCTGAAGCTCACTGATGGACCTTTGGCCATTCACAATTTCTCAGCTTCTGGAGTCTTCGGGAAGGGGCAAAGTAAACCCTTTCAAAAATCTAACACAACATGTTTGTCTCTTTGGGTAAGGAACTACAAACAGCACAGTTTACAAGACAGAGGAAGCCATAAGGCAGACTTCCTATGCCTTTCGTAGCAGTTTCAAATACCGACATTTAGCTAGTGAAGCTGTGGACAGCACTGAACCAAGTGAATCACCACTGGCAAAACACTAGTATTAGCCTGCTTGGAAGCAATATCAGCTTCTTCTTCTTTTTTTTAAAGAGAGGTGGCAATTATTATTTCAACAGCTGAGGAAAAAAGTAAGCCAAAAGTGAAAGACGGGGCCCCAGTGCTGAGGCAGGAGTGTCAAAAGGCTGCTTCTCTCCAAAGGGGAAAAAACAACAACAAAGAAACATATAGAAAATAGGAAAGAAAGGCCTGAAAACAAAGGCACGGAGAATTACAGGAGAAGGGAGGGTAACCTTGATCCATTTGTTGGCTTTCTTTTCTAGGGCTACATGAGTAGCAGATGGAACATATGCATATACTTTTAAATCTAATGTATCAGGATAAAAGGCTCGCTGTGGCTTCTGCTACCTATCCTCTCCTTTCCAGTCCTGCTGTCCACTGCCCTCCATGACCTCTTGTAAGTGATCAGAGCTCCAGGTCACAGAAGCCAGAGGAGGTAGATGGATAATAAGGCACAGGAGAAGAAGAAGAAGAAAAACATTGGAAGCCACAGCTTTAAATACTCATACACAGCAGAAAACAACAACAACAAGAACAACAACAACAGCTCATACACAGCAATGGCAACTGAAGTTTAGAAAATAACAACAAAAAAAGATTCTCTGACTAGGATATACCATAATACTTAGTATTTGTTTAAACTTATACAGATAAAAAAAGAGTTTGTAATAGCAAGAATTATTATGTGAAGTTTTAAAGGGTTTATAACCCCAACTTTCCTTCGATGGTATTAGATGGCTAAATAAGTTGAAAAATATGCTACGATGGATGGATGTATACTTTGTGACATCAGATATTTTCTATACTGTAATTGTCTAGATCCAAACAGTGCTGTACTGTTTAACTCAGTGGTTTAGGCATCGGTTGGGATTTTGATTCCCTACTGTGCCACCTAAACAGGGGCTGGACTCGAGGATTCATAGCGTCCCTTCCAGCGCTGCAGTTCTAAGATTATTATATTCTAGTAAAAAAAATTAAAGCACCTGCCATTCCAGAATGTTTCATTTCAACTTTGAAATTCTGCTGAAGGTTACAAACTTTGTACTCCTCAAGGCATTAGAACGGCTCTTTCTCATTACTATGACGTCAGAAGAATTACCTGTTCTTAACCTGTGGTCTGCAGACCCTTGGGGGGGGGCTGCAGGTCTGCAAAAGGCGTGAAGAAATGTCATGATTTTTGCAGTTAAAGCAGAAAGAAAGAAAGAAAGAAAGAAAGAAAGAAAGAAAGAAAGAAAGAAAGAAAGAAAGAAAGAAAGAAAGAAAGAAAGAAAGAAAGAAAGAAAGAAAGAAAGAAAGAAAGAAAGAAAGGGAAAGGAAAGGAAAGGAAATCTTAATTTTCCTTGCTTGTTTGGGAAAAAAACTTGGCTTTTATAACCTACTGTCGCCATTAAAAACAAACAAAAGTAAAAATTGGTTATAGAAATAACTGTTTGAGATTTCTGCACGCAGTGAGAACATGCAAGTGAATGATGCTGAGTGGCAGCATGTCACATTTCTTGCTACTGTAGACAGTTGGAAGCTGTGAGCCGAGTTGGAGTCAGTGTGAGTGAGTGTTCAGAAAGACTCTCTGATCATGTTTCATCTTTGATTTCTGTTTGGTTATTGTCAGGTGAAGTGACTTTTTGATATTATTGCAGTGAATTTCGTAACAATATATTTTGTGGCTGAGCCTCTAAATGGATCACTGTCTGAATTTGAAACAAAAGAACTGATCTGTTTTTGAGAGTGCATCCTGTACAAAGCAAAATGAAGCTTCTTCCAATCATCTTAAAAAGTGTCACCATTATAGCAAGGAATATCTACACAATTTTTTTAACTAAATAATAAATCATCAATTAGTATTTAATAGCATGTCCCTGGCCACTCAGAATCCCATGAGTTCGACATTGAAGGCGCAAAAGTTGTCTACTTGCCCCCAAACACAACCTCTCTAATTCAGCCTCTAGCTCAGGAGGTCATAAGGACCTTTAAGGCTCATTAGATACGGTGTTGTATGGAAACAATTGTTAATGCTATGAAAGAGAACCTTAATGGAGATAACTGGTGTGTGTGAATCAGCTGTTTATGCTCTGTAGTTATGTTGGGGGGGGGGCATAAGAGGTATACATGGATTCTGAACTACACTGGGGTCCAGCACCCCTAACTCCAGCATTCCTGAAGAAAGAAGTGTAGTTTGAAAAATAAGCAAGCCTCAAAGTTAGTTTGAACAAGTGTCTTCAGAACAGATTTAGTTTAATTCATAATTGCTGTTTTTTCCTGCAACAAAATTATATGAAAAGCTTTAAATATGTTTGCCAAGACATAAATACAATGATGCGCTGAGCACCTCAAACAAAAAGCATAATCATTAATAATTTTCTGAATATGCAGTAGAATGAGAGGTAAGATCATGAGCTCAATGCTGTACTTTCAAAACACATTACTTGCCTGTCTAGACTTCTCAGATTAATGAGGGTCCACCAGATTATCCTCTTTAAAAAAGATGCAGGCAAGTAATATTTTTAACTAGATGAAGTTTTATTGTTACATAATTCAGCAATAGCTTTCTATGTAAAGGAGAACCCTATAATGAATTTCTAAGCATATCAGATCTACAACCTGATTAATTTGAGAGAGGAATTTATTAACCACTTAAGATTTGCAGTCTTTATTAAAGCTAAGGATGTGAGGTTTTTCCTATCTTCTTCATCTACAATTGCAAGCAGTATGAAGTAGAGAACTAAAAGTCCCTTTTTATAGGCTGAAGGGACCTCCTTTTCCCACCCAACTATGCTATAGCTCACTTTAAACATTGATCTTTTGCTTGGCTCTTCCATTTTGCAACTGAGAAGTTCATATTTGAATGAAGGTGCTCAGAAACTAACCACTCAAAAATAGTGTTCACCATTTACTTTAAGGGTCAACTTCTCTAACCTTCTGGCTGTCTCATTTCATTGCTGTAATTTCTGACAGGAAGTGTGGCAATAGAGCTGTTTCAGTACTGAGAGCAACAGATAAAGAACACAGAAAACCCGAGGAAGGAACAGGACTGCAGGTGTTAATGTATTATTTGAATTTAAGGGATCTGCCATGCTATGTCTCCTTTGTCTTGACTGTAAGAAAGAAAGAAAGAGAGAGAGAGAGAGAGAGAGAGAAAGAAAGAAAGAAAGAAAGAAAGAAAGAAAGAAAGAAAGAAAGAAAGAAAGAAAGAAAGAAAGAAAGAAAGAAAGAAAGAAAGAAAGAAAGAAAGAAAGAAAGAAAGAAAGAAATAAAGGTGTTCTGCAACTAGATTACAATTGCTCTCTAATTTCCGTTCATGCTTACAGGATATCTTTTTATTGAAACTTTTAATGTCTAAATCAATAAATGAAGATCCAATTGTAGAAAAGTGAGAAAATATTTGTGCTTTTCTGACAAACAACTGTACATTCTCTTTATGGGACTGACAGAAGAACTTGTTCCTATGATTTCCAAGAAGCACACCAAAATCCCTTTTGAAGTCATAACAGACTACAACCAGTTCCTAGTAAGCACATAGTTTATTTTATTCCATTATATCCTCTAGGGCCGCTTTACATTACCTGGTGCCCTTCACCAGTATAGCAACTAACAGGAGCTAGACTCTGCACATCCAAATGGTACAAGGACAGGTAAGACCATTTTAAAGACATGACTAAATTTAAGTATTTAGCACAACATTTCATTTCTTTTTATAATTATATAAATTCTTCAAGATGTTTTTTTTTCTTTGCGAGGGACACACCAGCTAAGTTGCAGTGATATTGAAGTGTCTCTTGTGGTAGTGATATTAAACGTCTGATTCTGCATTTAGAGATAGGGAATGCACTTGAGATGATGTGGTTATCTATATTTCCTCCACAAGGCTTCCAACACACATTGCAGCCCTAGAAACTCTAATCAGAATAGTGAAATGTTTCCAAAGAGGCCTCAAATTTAGCTTAGACCCAAATTCATTTTCCCAAAATACTCAGCAAAATTTATTAGGCTGATTTGGTTTTTACATGGTCTTTTCACATGCCCTATCTCCATTCAGAATTTCCTATGAGTCAGGTGATGCTAGTTAATTTGTTTTAGGCAACATTTCAACCAATGCAGTGATTGCACTTTGTATTTTTGCAGTGCTCATTCTGTTATATTTTTTGGTAAATTGGTGGGCAGAGAGAATGGGCAATGGGGAAAAACACAGAGATTCTAGTTACTACTAGTATGGCGAAAGGTCACAGATGGATTATGTGTGGCAGATAGGATATGACATGTTATGCGTGCCAGTGAATGCAGGAACTGAAGGGGAGTGGGTGCCATATAATGGTAATGAAAATCTTGTGTTCTAGCGAGATTATTCCTGCATCCCACCAGTGTACCGTATCTGCCGGCGTACAAGATGACTTTTTGGCCCAGAAAAACATGCCTCCAAGTGTGGGGGGTGTTGTCTTATACGCTGGGTGCACTTCCAGCAAACCCTCCCTCCCTCCCAGCAAAGTCATTTACCTGGTAGTAAGACCGAGTAGACCCAGCCCGGTCCTCCTTGGTAGCCTGGGAACAGCCTGACTCTAGCGCCGAAGAGCTGACTGTTGGGAACAGCAGAGAGGCGGCAGCCATTTTGAGATGCGACCACATGGCTGCTGCCTCTCAAAATGGCTGCCGCCTCTCCAAAATGGCTGCTGCCTCTCAGCTGTTCCTTCTTCCAGCAAACCCTGGTGCTCTCCGAAAAGGAACGAAAAGCGGCAAAAGGAACTCTCCCCATGATGCAGCCAAAGCAGAATCACGCATGCGGAAGAGGGAGTAGTCTTATATGGCAAGTATATAACAAACTCTACATTCTGAGTGGGAATGTTGGGAGGTCGTCTTATACGCCCAGTCGCCTTACAACCGGCAAATACGGTATTTATTTATTCATTCATGTAACACTGTTTGAGAACCACTTCATATATGTTTATCATCATACAACACATACCTGTGCCTCAACTTCCAAAGCTACCAATTTTGTTTTCTGCTTTCTCTTTGTGGCATCACTGTATTTTGTACCATATTGCAACTATGAAGCAACACTAACACTACATAGTATTGTTCAGTGGTAGGAGAATTAACAAGAATGTGCAATGACCTATGTGTTAGGTCATGTTAGCATGGTGAGGAAACCATGCTACAGTACTTAAGAGAAACAATATACTGGTGCAAGACAGTACACATTGCCATATAAATTCTCAATATTATAATCCAATGAATAAATAAGTAATTAAATAAACATTTCCACTTCCAGTATCAAGTACCAGGCAAGCTGCATGAGACGAGTAAGCCAATTTTGCACACTTTACCTGAAATGCTATATGAAAGGAGAGATAAGCAGTTATATTTACAGCTGGGTATTAAAAGTACATGCTACTGGCTAACCATTATTGGTTGAATATGGCTAACGCCTGCATTCCCATGCATAATGCAAGCAACTATTCCTCGCACTAAGAACATGTAGAAGTCTGTATATTTTAAAACACAAATTAAATAGACATGCTCTTTCAGAAAACACATTGTACTGCAGTTACTCCCACACCATTTCCTCTTGCAGCTGACAGGGCATATGACTATTTAAGGTCTGGTAAGTAATGTGGTTATTTTTGGATTGTTATTGCTTTTTGAAAGTTACAACATTCAGCAAACCCAACTATAAAAAAGAAGATTCAATCTGAGGTGTAAAACTTAAAGAAAAATACTTTCACCCATCTTTTTCTGACTCCATCAACTTTAAAATGAATCAGACAATTCATGCCAGAAGACAAAATACAATATGAAGCTTGTAATTAAATAAAACTATTTAATACATAAACATTTGAAACAAGAGGAATACTCTAAAGACATACATTAACACAATCTCTGAGCAGCATTTTTCCTCTCCCCTATAATCTTCACAAAATACTTCCTTTCACTGGTTGTTTTGCACAGTTTATATAGATTAAGGACGGTGCAAGTCAGTTCTACCACCTGTACTTCGTTTACTTAAGCAGCCTAACATATAACACAGTTAGCAAGTTCCTTCTGCCTTGGGGACTTGCAAAATGTCACCAAACATGTGATCTGCAAAGTATTTAGAAAGTTATGGTCTGAATGAGAAGCTACAGTACCATATGATCAAATTTATATTAGAGGGGGCAAATTTTACTTCTGATCTGCATTATTGAATTGTACATATGCACAAGTGCATATTTTCCTCACCACCTTTTCAGAAGGTGGGGATTTTTTTTGTCTCTCCTGTTAAGATACATGTTGGATAATCTATGGGGGATATGGGGATTTAGGGGCAGGCCCAGAAGCAAATGTGGCTGCAGCCAGCTCTTTCTCTGTCTCCCTTTTTAATTCCCTGCATGGCAGGATGCGATGGATACACAGACATCTATCTAGAGGTCAAAAATAACTACTTCCAGAGGCCTGAAAATGGTCGATCCATTTTCTTCAGCAAGAACTGAAAACTGGATATTTTCTCAGACCCTAGGAAACCAGCACTAAATGTTACAGGTACCATATCAATGTATTTGTCATACAAACAGATAAAGAGCCCTAATATTATTGTTTGCGTAGCTGACATTCTGTATTATATTTGAGTGATTTTAGATTTTCTATACTTTATCCCTTACTTTTACTTGTTTATGGTGTTCATTCATTGGTCTTTGTTTCTACTTTGTCTGATAATTCTTTACTTTAGCCAGATTTGTGAAGGATTTTGTTCAAGAATGATGCCACCTAAAATATAGGCTAAAACCCTCCAGTACATTTAATGCAGGCAAAAGGGAATGGGTGGAGTATGGAGTGGCAATCTGCTGCTAATTAAGGAGTCCCCACTTGCATGTGCCAAGCTACCCAACTAGCATGCAATAAGAAATCCAAGAAGGAGCTTGCTAATCAAGCAGCAACTTGTCACTGCGAGTTAAACCACTTCCCTTCCACTGATGTAACTATGCAGCAGAATTTTGGCCACAGAATCATCATTTTTATATCTCGGAAGCAAAAGTCATCCAGGTGATCAAAACTCTCAAACAGCTTGGCTATTTATAACTGATAAAGTCATATAACAATATACTGCCTAGTGGTTTTTAAATGTTAACTTTTTTAAAAGTTTGAACAAATTAATTTCAACCCACGTTACATGCCCTAACTTTTCTTTTCAATAACACAGAATAAGTGAAATCATACTTTCAGCTTGCAGGCGAGGTTACTCAGAAATTAGCTGCTTGGTTCCTATGCTGTGTCTATTAATGAGCATTAAGCAAAGCACTACTAGAAATCATAGTGATGGTGAATTGTGCAGGGCACCAGCTGACATTAGGTAGACTTCCATAAGGTCCTTTCGGTCCTAGGATTCAGGTGCTCCGGGAAGGGCAGTCTCCTTTGAGGCCAACCCTGGCATGACCAAATTTAAATCATGGGACCTGGCTCAGAGATGGTTGGGGAAGGCTTCCCCCAATTGCGCTGGCTGGGGTATGTCTGTAGACTACTGAATGCCTCTGGGGCTGGAACTCACCCTTGTAGGCTGAGAAGCGCATGATAAGCAGTCTAGGATCTGCACTATAAGGAGGCCCTGGTGCAGGATAGGTCTAAAGTTTAAAAAAATTAAACAAAATTTGTGGCCCAGTTTCATCCCATCACCTGTGTCTCTACTTTTTATTTCCCGGTAGGGGAGTAAACAATGTTGGTCCTGTAAGGCAAAATCCTATTCAATATTCATTTCTGTGTTGAAGACAAAACAGACAAGAACTTTATCGTTTTTATCAACCTTATGACTAAAGACCATGTGGTTTTAAATAATGCCAGGTAGATTAGAGAAAAACAATGCAGATTTTTAGTACAAAGAATATTTCAACTTAAGTTAATATTGTAAGAAAAACAGAATGGAGGAATTTAAATTGTTGAAATTCAGACATAAATTTACAATTTAATATGTATTTGAAGAAATGGCTTGTTCCCATCGAAATAAAACTTTTGGTCCTACAAATGATACATGCTGTTCTGCCTCCTGGCCCCCACTATTTGCTTGCACAAGAATTTAAAGAGCCTCATTACAGAAGAAAGGGGCAAAAAAGAACAAACATTCATGTGACTTAGGCAGATGTGTCCTTTAACCTGTAGCCTTGTTTGGTTACATAAAATCTAATTATATTCATTACCTAGTTTTACAGTTAAAAAGACATTTAAATGAATCAGTATATCATACATATCATGCCAATTAAAGAGGTGTTTATTTTCTTCAGCGCTAATCCTTAGTTTACATTGGTAGTTCACTTTAATCAATCTAAGGTACAATTATCAAATATTTAACCACTGAACGAGTTGCTTTAGCCAGTTATGTCCATTTCTGGGTGCATTTCTCTTTATGAGTACAGCTTCTCTCCACTAGGAGTCCCTTGACAACACACAACCTGATCCCCACACTGAGGCAGGCCTTAATGTGAGTGTGAGGCTCCCCCTGAAATGGTGGGGCCAGTTGTTCCCCCAGCTGGATCACAAGGTTACCAGTCTTTGCATTATACTGCTTGATCAATATGCATACACTTCTTAATGATAATATAGAACCATCCATCATGTCAATGACCATGGAAGTAGTAAACATTGATAGGCACAAACCAAAAAAAGAAACAGGAAGTTGGTCCAAAATCACAGTATGGTGGTAGGATAAAGAATATTTCTATATTAGTATTCTGACCCTAAAACAGCTTGACTGTCAAACTAAATCCCACTTCATTCATGGAAACTAAGTGGTTATCTCTGTTTTTATTTTATTCATTTGCCAAATAAGCCCCCACCAAAAAACCACATACCATATTTTATTTACATTTGCCAACTGAAATCCTATGGATTTCTGAGACTGCTGCCAAAAACCACAAAAGTAATTAAATGAGTGGCTACCAGAGTAGAAAACTGGTAGGAAAACTGCAAAAAATGTAAGCATTGTTACTCCTGGAATTTCTCCTCAAAATAGAATTGTGAGTCCAAAAGTGCACTTATCAGCTTACATCCATCCATTATAATTTCACTTTCTATGCAACAGACTCACTTTTCTTTCCCTCTCTAACTCTCCCAAAATAGATGAGGTGTGAGACGCAAGGGAAGCTGATGAAGCCTCCAGCAGAAGTGCTCCATTGGATCAGAAGTTTTTCATGGAGATGATAAGGCATGCATCTATGGAAGAGAGACACTGGATCCAAACAACACATTGAATATGTATTGCTTCAATACTCTTAATCCTGAAATATGTTCATCTACAGACCTTTATATAATTAGTTATAAGGACTGCCAAAATAAGAGACTTTGCAAATTGAAGAAATAACACAGTGACTGAAATCCTGTTGCTTAGCATAGCTAAAGAGCACTGGAGTAGGTGCTGAATCAATGAAACTTGATCTACCAAATCTCTAATGATTCAATCAGCCTCCTCATCCAAACAACACATTGAATATGCATTGCTTCAATACTCTTAATCCTGAAATATGTTTATCTACAGACCTTTATATAATTAGTTATAAGGACTGCCAAAATAAGAGACTTTGCAAATTGAAGAAATAACACAGTGACTGAAATCCTGTTGCTTAGCATAGCTAAAGGACACTGGAGTAGGTGCTGAATCAATGAAACTTGATCTACCAAATCTCTAATGATTCAATCAGCCTCCTCAAGTGGGATTTACTAAGCTAAACAACAGGATTTTTGCCATTAAGTTTAGAAAGCAAATGTGTAGTTATTCAACTAAAAGCTACCTTTAACAATAAATATTCTTCAACCATTCATTAATATTTATGGTTTTCTTTTTCCTCATCTGTGCCCTCTTAAACTGTAAGGAAATTCTTTCTTTACAAGGGGGTCCAGACAGATCTAAGCTGCCTCATACAGTAAAACTAGTACTTTTCCTTTCTTTACTTCATTTAGAAACAACTAATAACAGATTTAGTAACTCTTCATGCTGCTACTGCTATTTCTTAGTTCCAGGGGACATGAAAAAAACAAGTGCTCTGAGAATTAGATGATATGATGTATAAGAATTCTTTACAAGCTATTCTCCACTGGGGGAAGGGCCGCCAAATCATTGTAATACTGCTATGCATGCATGCATGAGATCAAGAAGATTTAAATATGACATTTTACTGATTCAGCTTTAATTTCACTGTCTACAGTGTACTTGTTAATCCAGAATATTAAAACTTTTGTCATTCTCAACAAATCCAACTGTTCCTCATGCTAGCTCCTCAGCTAGCATGACAATCTGCTATCAGATTGTTATACAGTATAGATCTCATGTTAGCATATATTCTGACCTGTGAACTCATAAAACACCAAAATGCACACAGCTATATTTGAGCAGATTACACCTGCTCATCCAGATAAACTCTGATTTTAGTGAGACCAGCACCTGCTAACATAGCTTTATGCCAATTAGTTTTTGCCTGACATGTTCAAAAATGCAGCAGGCAGATGTTTCAGTAAAATGTTGTGGTAAAACTACTAATATAAGAGATTAAAAAGGATGACAGACTCTTGTGAAGAGGAATCCTATGACAATCTGCAGTTCTGGAAAGTGAAGTGAAAACTGCTATGAAAGCATTAGGAAGAAAATAAATCTCCAGGAGTAGGTGGGATACTGTTAGAACTATTTAATCTTATAGATGAGATACCACTAGAACTATTCAAGCCACAGAGATTGAATCTGTAAAATGCTTAAGGTGATGCTTAAGGTGTTACAACAAAAGCTTATATGGAGCGAGAAGTGCCTGATGTTCTAGCTAGATTTTGAAAAGGAAGAGGCACTCATGATCAAATTACAAATATCTGCTGGGTACTGAAGCACACCAAAGAGTTTCAGGAAAAGATCAGTTTATGCTTCATAGACTACAGCAAATCCTTTGACTATTTAAACAAGCTACCATTAGGGCAGAATATGGAGAGACTATATTCCTATAGGCAAAGATGTCAGACAAGGATGCATTTTATCCCCTTACTGTATCAGTCCGTATGCAGAACATATGTAGAAAGTTGGACTACATTCAGATGAAAGAGGAGTGAAAACTGGTGGAAGAAACATAAATAATTTAAAATATGCAGATGATACCATCTTACTGGCAGAAAGCAGCAAAGGGTTGAAACAAGTTTTAGTGAAAATGAAAAAAGAAAGTGCCAAAGTAGGACAGCAGCTGAACATTGAGAAAACTAAAATCATGAGTACAAAAGGCTGACACAACTTAAAATACTGACAATGAAAAAAAAATTAAATAGATATTTTATATGCCTTGGTACAATTATGAATCCAAATGGAGACGGTAGCCAAGAAATCGGAAGAAGACACTTGGAAGGGTAGTAATGAAGGATATAGAAAATATCATCAATGTACGGATGTGTCACTGGGGACCAAGACCAAGATCATCCACACTCTTGTATTTCTAGTCACCAAGTATGGGTGTGAAAGTCTTCCAGATATCCTGGATTGCCAGAAAGCCGAACAAGTGGATCCTAAGTCAAATTAAGCTTTAACTATCTCTGGAGGGAAAATGTTGAAACTAATATTCTCCTTCTGGTTGTATCATGAGAAGACAGGATTCTCTGGAAAAGACAATAAGGTGGGAAAAGGTGGAGGGCAGCAGGAAAAGAGGAAGATCAATTACGAGATGGATTGACTCCCTAAAGGAAGCAACAGGCTTGAGTTTGCAAGAACTGATCAGGGCTGCTAAGGACAGAACATTTTGGAGATCCCTCATTCATGGGTTTGCCATAGGTCGGAGGCAACTTGATGGCACATAACAAGAACAACAGTGCAGCAGATTTCTCTCACATCTATATTCCAAAAACAATACCTACAATTTCATGCACATTTAGTATGTTTCTAACCCAGAAGCTCCACTTATCTGCCAGTCTATCACACATAATTGGGCATTAAATATAAATTACTGAACTTAGGAGAAAAGAAAAATGGTACACCTATCCCTCCTTCCCCAAGACTGCAGTGCGACTCCACTCACTAAATCACTTTAAACAGCTGGGCAATTAATGAAGCCTATTGTTGTCACATCAACACTGTTATCCTGATTAAATCAGTGCTTGTGCAAACAGTAATCACATGGCTGAAGACACACATCTTATTCCCACTGAATCATTTTTAGTTAATTCCTTCAAAGGATTATGCTGCAAATTGGTGCTACGTACTAGCAAGAGTTTTAAAAAAAACATACATCTTGTGAAAGAAAAATATCAAGTCCTGGGAAGCAAAAAGAAAACAAAACATTAACTTTGGTGTTTAGGTAGAATACTTTTTACCAAACCCCCAACGCATTAAAACACATACAGTATACTGTGTTACCTCCTAAAGACCGTGGGGGCTGAAACTAAGTTTTGAAAAGTTTTACAAGCATACAAATCCTGTTCACATACTTTCCAGATTTTTAAGCTCCAACTCATATCTCACATTAGCCTTTAAAAAGCAAAGGAAAAGGAAAAAATGAGCAAAAGCCATCAGATGCTGCTTTTTGGGATTTTAAAAACCAAAAAATAAAAATAAAAAATTGGGGGGGGGGAAGCCTCCAACTTTCCTGGTACTACTGCTTACTGTAGAAACTTGGCATTTCACTCATCTGGAAATAGGACCACTGTCTCTGCCTTGCATTTTGGAAGACTGCCCTAATTCTTTTCTCCTAGGTCTTGTTGCCAGGGTTGCAGCTGTACAGTCAATTCCTACTGAAATGCAGGTCTTTGGAGGGGGTACAAAGGGCTTCATTATCTTTTCTCAGTGCAGTGCCCATACACAGACAGAAGAGAGCCTCGCTACCCCCTCCCACTAAACAATTCCAGCCACTCAATCACGACTATTTACATATGAAGAGTCATGCAGGGAATTCAGCCCAAAGAGACTTCACAAGTCACATGTGTCTGCCAGAAGTTGTTCCAAGGAAGCAAAGTGTTCTTCAGATCCATTCATTTAGAATCCAGTAGCAGTTAACATGCTTAAGTTTTAAGTACATTCGCAGGTTGCTTCTCTTTTTTTTTAAGAGAGAGTGAGTGTGTGCTAAGTATGCTGTAAAAAAACACAGAAAGAGAAGACCAAGGAAATTGTACGTTTACACTGAAAACCAGATTCAAAGGTCTCCCAGAGCTTTTCATATGTGAAAGCCTCTTGAAATGTTTGGCAGAAGTCTATATATCTGAAAATAATTGTTCAGAAGATATAGTTCACAAAATTAAACAGAAGACAAATCATGAGGTGGAATGATCCTGAAATTGCGACTTTAGATGTAGTACAGGTACTGGCTGTTTTGAGAGAATCCTGATTAAGCTTGTTTTCAAAAATTGAAAAGTGACAGAGAGTGTAGTGTTACATCCAGAATGGACTACTTGAATTGTATTTCGAAGAATCTCATTCAGCCTTTTAACTTTTGAAATATGGTAGCATCCAATATATGTATCTAATACAGTACATTGTAGTTAATTAGAACTTTTAGAAGAGGTAGCCGAGTTAGTCTGTGTTAGAGGCAAAAACAAAAGAAAAAGAAAGACAAAAATGTTGTGGCATTTTAAAGACTGACTGTTATATTTTAATGTGAATTTTCGTGGACAACTCCACTTCGTCTAATGTCTGTTAGTCTTTAAGGTGCCACAACATTTTTGTTGTCTTTTTTAAATTTGTTTTTGCCTTTTATAATGAATGGGCAGTTCTTAACACAATACCATTTAAAGTCTATAATCCTGTAGTAAGTTGCAACTAGAGTATAACCATTCTATCAATGGAATTAACATAGGTGTTGACACACCACTGATTCAATTACAGTGGACCCTTGACTTACAGACGGCTTGACTTACAGACTTTTTGAGTTACAGATTTCTCTGGCCGCAAAATTTAGGTTTGACTTGCAGACTGAGATTTGACTTAGAGACCAGAAAAAAAACCAAAATGGAACAAAAACGGCCTGTTACGGGATTAATCGGTTTTCAATGCACTGTAGGTCAATGGAGACTTGACTTACAGACTTTTTGACTTGAGAACCGCCTTCCAATATGGATTAAGTTCTCAAGTCAAGACCCCACTGTAGCCTACTCTCTAGTTGCAACTTAACTGTTAGATTCCAGCTATTATATTATAATTAAAGTTATAATAAAGACAAATTAAAATTAAGTAAATACATCTTACAATTTATTTTTCTTTAACTACAAAAAAATAGTTGTAAGTTTTCTCCAGTTTTCATCTAGAATGACGGGAACTTTCCTTCAGCACCAATAAGGACAAAAACCAGAAGTAATAGGTAATATTCAACAGATCCAATTATAAAGGATACACCAAGTCTCAGGACATATAAAAATATCTAACTTTATTACAATATAAAACTGCCCAATGCATTTTGGCCTGAACAATTTAAAACCTTCTTCAGGGACATTCATCTGTGGTAT